AGGCAATTTTAGAGTCAAAGATTACTGCGGAGAGCAATTCTAGATGCCAGTGCCTATCAGTCTGGTCCTCTCTCTCTCTCTCTCTCTCTCTCTCTCTCTCTCTCTCTCTCTCTCTCTCTCTCTCTCTCTCTCTCTCTCTGGTCCTCTCTCTCTCTCTCTCTCCCTCTCCCTCTCTCTCTCTCTCTCCCTATGGTGCTCTCTCTCTCTTTCTCTCCATCAGTGCACGTCTGAACGTCGGAGGCCGCGGTTTTTTTTTTTTTTGAGGGAAGTACATTCATGTCACATCAGAGTTCGTAATTGGCTTAAAAAACATGCAGCAGCAACTTTGTCATGGCCTGAGTTCAAAAAGGAGGTTGTAACTCAGGCTGGCAGTGGAGTCAGGGCAGTAGCTTGTAATAGCCTAATAAGCACTTGTGTTGCGTCGGTACCTGTCCGTTCCCAGGTACCGGGCCGTCCCACATTTTTCCGGAGCTTGTCCCACCTGTTTTAGGCAGAGAACGGGACTGGTTTCATGCCTTTACCATTGCTGGAGACGGCCGAGCGGCCCGAGCCCGTTCGTGCTCCCACAGTTCCATTGTCGCTACCGGCCTTGAGCCGGGTGAGTGCTGCCTCGGAGCCACGTGTCCTAAGGCTGTGACGCCGAACCTCATGCCCAGCGCGACTTCCTGATCGGAGTAGGATGTGGGCCTGGAAGTGCGACAAGGGGTGTGCCAAGGATTTTTGGGAAAGTGGGGGTGGAGTCCCAGGTCAGAACTGAGATCTCCTGTGGCAGGGTTTCAGGGGCACGGGTGCAATATGGTTGAGGGGGGGGATCGCTTCCGGTCGTAAGGCAGATGGTATGCGCAGTGCATTCAAGGCCGTCCGATTCGTCTATTTTGGGGGCCGCGGTTCGGGGAGGGGTCTGCCTGGAATGGCTGTGATTCTGATGAGTCGGGCCTTTGGGGGCAGCCACGTGCCGTCTGTCGTCACGCGTTTGGGTTAGGCCTCCTGTTTTCAGGGGCTCGTCGTTTGCCGCGTTGCCGACAATTTCCGCAGGGTGTGCGGGGCTAGTACTCGGCGATGGAATTCCATGGGACAACTGTGAGCTGGTCATACGGGAGAAGGAGGCGGAAGGGAGGGAAGTTGGTAGCGATAAAGACGAAGTCGGGGGATATGAAGTAGTGCAAGTTATCCGAAGTGGGAAAATTGGGACACCTCGGATCGCTGGTCGTAGCACAGTGAAACTCCCTAGGGCACAATCGATTATCGGTTAGGCAGGGGAATTCCGGGCGTCTCTGTCTGAGACACTCGCTCACCCAAGGGTTGAAATACTCCGGATCCCACGACCAGTCTGAATCCCTCGAGTACGTCATCTTGTCATTGTGAGGCCGCGGAATTCCTTAGTGCGTGTTTACCTAGCTGGGGAAAGTCCGGGCCCGTCGTTCAGAAATTTCGCGCCTGTCCTGATATTTGACGATTGCGATTACCGCGCGTGAGTACGTGTAGGCCGCGCGAATGGGATCGCGCTTACACGTGCTTAGGCGGGATGATTGCTACGTTGCGGATGCAAAACGGCCGTCGAATACATCCAATCATTCATCCATCATTCCAACATCCCCGCGCAATGCAACATCCATTCATACAATCAGAAGAGAATCTCGGGGTAGTTAAGTTCGTTGGTGGTTACAAATCAGCGTGCGTGGATATGCGTAAGCTGCGCAGACCAGATCATGCTTACGCGCATTCCCGCAAGGCGTTCGCTGGTCTTCGGTCCAACAACT